ACTAATCAGATACAAGAGCTCATTGAGTGCTCAGTGAGCGGTCATGGTACTGAATCCCAATGCACCTATTGAATGCACCCATTAGCGTACCCTCCTCACCACTTACCGCGCAAGGCTGCGTTCGGAAATATCACCCGAGTGTATTGTTTTATCCTTATTTAACGTTGGGTAAATAACAAGGATAAAATCATGATTTAAAGCATGTTCGTCCAGTGGTAGACCACTGCGCATGTATCAAACATACGTCACATTCAGCCAGCCTCGGCTATATCCGGCGGTTCGTGTCAATGAAATATGGATTGTGTTCCAAAATTTACTGCCAATATTGAAAATCTATAGTTTACGTTACGTGCACTATAGATTTTCAGTACTGGCAGTATATTTTGGAACACAGCTATATAGTCGCCAACACATGTGCAGCACATGCCAAATAAATTCTATAGGGCAAAGTGAAATCTAGCGATTTCAAATTCAAATTACGTTGTGCAGTTAAAAGATGCGGAAATTACCATCATAAGACAAAAAATGAGTCGGATTGGAAGGAGTCAGAAAATTTTTCGGATTGACAGGCATGCTTGAAAGCATACGTTCGAATTTCGCGTTTAATGATGACGTACAGTCATCATTAAGCGCGAGTCTTATTTGCCGATTCATGAATAAGAACCAATCGCTCGATGAACAAGCTGCATTGAAAAAAAAGTGTTGCAACCTTTTTGGCCCTGACCGTACGTTTGATACAGACTGCGTTTCATTATTCACTGTCAGTACTGACAATATGACGTCATAAAGTAGTACTGCAGAAGCGTTTCGTAATTACTAATAGTACTAATAGTACTTTTATGACGTTGCAACGTTGCGTAACGAAACGAATTTAGTATTTGGTAGGACTGTGTAGAAAAAAAAAAAAAAAAAAAAAGTTAGGTTAATTTATTATACGTTACTGTGTAGAAATATATAATTTTTCAAATTTTGATAGAATTTGGAACTATTAATTATATTCATATTTTTGCGTGCTTTTTTGTATCTTCTTTATTCACTAATATGTCATAACTTTGATCGTTTCGACATTTAAAAAACACATTTTTTCTTGATTTCGTCGGATTTCGCCATCTTTTTACGATTGCTTGACCTCGCCAGCCGCAATAATAGAAGTAGAAAGTAACGCAAAAATTTATGACGTCATATAGACGCAAAAGTATATTGAAAGTTTACTGCGATATAGGCCTCTGCTACACGGCACGCTTAATCGGGTTTAATAATCAGTAGTTATGAAATTGTCCAATCATAGCTGTTTCTCGGAAGAATGGAACGACTGTGATTGGCCAGTTTCATAACTACGGATGTTATTAAACCCGATTAAAAGGGTGCCGTGTAAATGTAGTCATTTATTGGAACGACATGTGCAATGCTACCAGTACTGACAGTGAATAACGAAATGCAGCCAGGCTCTAAGGGCGTGGCCATGAACGTATGCGCATGAGCATACCCTTGTGTTTATACCGTGGATTAAACGATACGCGGGGACACTCGGGTGATATTTCCGAACGCAGCCCAAATGATTGATCGTATACATCCTTAAATTTATTGGCTGTGGCCCCGACATGTCACCAGCTCGAAGCCCAATTGGCTACTCAATCGTGCGCGCGCCGAGAACCATGAGGAAGGCTTCATCTTTATCATCATTCTCATTCTTGTGCATTCTTGTTCTGGCACCAACCAAAGCGCTCGCGTTCTCGACGCGCTCTTAATCTGGAACTTGCCGTTGAATTAAAGTGAGTTAATGCTCGTATTCATAGGCTGCGTTCCACTTAAGGGTCTGAGCACAAGAATTGTCGTAACACTTACTTAGATTTAAGTTGTAGACGTAAGTAACGCACAAACTTTCACGTACAACTTATTGCTGTGTCTCCAAGGTGTCGGTATTCATAGTCGGTTCTTATTTCAAGACGGTCTTAAATAATGTCTTAAGACACTAAGGGCGGAATCCATAGACGGTGCTCAAGATTTGAGATGGCCTGAAGCTAGTGCATGAACCAATCAGAGAGCCGTATTAGCATCTTAAGACATTGAGATTACGGATCTATAATAGGGTTTTAAGCCTTAAGTCATAAGAAATGGGCGAATCACAGTCGATTATTCCCCTCGGATTTGACTGTAATTGGTCAATTTCTTACGGTTTAAGTCTTAAAACACCTATTGTAGATCCGAACTTAAGACCGGACTATGGATTCCGGCCTAATGCGGTCCTCTGATTGGTTCGTGATATCTCAAAGCAGAACTTAAGACGGTCTTCAATATAAGAACTGACTATGAATACTGGCCCAAGAGACGGTAATAAGTCATACGTCATACGCCAAAACTTGTGCGCGTTATTTAACGTCTACAATTAAAGTCTCTAAGGCCAGTATTCATAGTCGGCTCTTATTTTAAGACCGTTTTAAATAATGTCTTAAGTCGCTAATGTCCTTTGATTGGTTCATGACTTCTTAAGACTGTACTGAAGACGATCTTGAATATAAGATCCTACTATGGCCGGTATTCATGGTCAGATCTTATATTCAAGACCATTTTAAGTACGGTCTTAAGAAGTTACAAACCAGTCAGAGGCTGGTATTCATAGTCGATTCTTATATTTAAGATTGTCTTAAGTGCAGTCTTAAGATATCACGAACCAATCAGAGGACTGTATTAGCGTCTTAAGACATTACTTAAGGCAGTCTTGAAATAAGAACGAACTATGAATACCGGCCTAAGTAAGGCCGGAATCCATAGTCCGATTTTAAGTCGGTATTCATAGTTGATTCTTATATTCAAGACCGTCTTAAATATAGTCTTAAAATATCACGAATCAATCAGAGGGCCGCATTAGCGTCTTAAGACATTATATAGGCCGATATTCATAGTCAGATCTTATTTCAAGACCGTCTTAAGTAATGTCTTAAGATGCTAATACAGCCCTCTGATTGGTTCGTGACATCTCAAGACTGAACTTAAGACAGCTTGAATATAAGAACTGACTATGAATACCGACCTTAAAATAGTCTTGAAATAAGAATTGATTATGGTCGCGGTCCGATTCACGCTCACAACGCTTAAAAATCATTTCATTCTTGTTGTTTGTCAAATGTTGAACGAAGACAAATAATGCTCATGAGCGTTGTCAGCATGAATCGGACCACGGCCTATGAAGACAAGCCTTAATCTCAAGCAATGTCTTAAGATGCTAATATCCCGGATTTACAATAGAGTTTTAAGCTTTAAGCCATAAGAAATAGACGAATCATAGTCGATTGTTCTCCTCGAATTCGACTGTAATTGGTCAATTTCTTACGACTTAAGGCTTAAAACACCTATTGTAGATCCGGACATACGGCTCTCCGATTGGTTCACTAGCTTAAGCCTTCTCGAATCTTGAACATCTATGGATTCCGCCTTAAGTTAGTTATTCGACTGTAATTGGTCAATTTCTTACGACTTAAGGCTTAAAACACCTATTGTAGATCCGGGGTTACAGTAATCATGGTTGCTTTCCTTTTAGCAGACACAGTCGACACAAGTATCGTTCTATCTTTGTCACTCTCTGAATATCAAGAAGGATAGAACGATGCTTGTGTCGACTTGTGTCGATTTGTGTCATTAAATGGAAAG